CCTCAAAAGCTTGAAGAAGGATTTCTTCTGGAATTGGTCTGTATCTAAATAATGCAAAAAAAGACGTAAATACCACAGTATTTAGCTCAGGCTCTACATAATAAATGATCACATAAAATAAAACAAACACTGCTAACATACTAGAAAAATAATGCTTTCTTCACTGAACTCTTTTTTGGCTTCTAGATATGAAAGTTGAAAGCATTCCACATCCACGGGAAATAGTTCAAAATCACTGGCATGCTTAATATTACCTATTAATTTTTTCATCATCATAGAAATCAATTTATCTTGGAACAAAATTTTTTTAAATATATTTTATTGATTTTTTTACAGAGAGGAAGGAAGAGGGATAGAGAGTTAGAAACATCGATGAGAGAGAAACATCAATCAGCTGCCTCCTGCACACTCCCTACTGGGGATGTGCCCGCAACCAAGGTACATGCCCTTGGCTGGAATCGAACCTGGGACCTTTCAGTCTGCAGGCCGACGCTCTATCCACTGAGCCAAAACAGTTAGGGCAGAACAAAATTTTTATAATAAACCAAATATACTAAGATAATGCTACTCTTTCTCAAGAAAAATAATTAGGGTTAATTCTTATTTATCATTGATAATTCAAAATAATAAGAATGTTGTTGACTTATGCTTTTTGTAGCTTATTTGCCCTTTAATTACACTTTGCTTATTAGATTAATACTGAAGTGATTGATATTTTTAAATAAATACCAACTAGCAGAGTATAGTGAAAAGTTAGAAGGAAGCAATCCTGGGAAAAATACTGGGTGATGATAATATATGAAGTGAAAAAAAAAACAATTTGCAATTAATGTAATTATAGTCATTACTTTACCATTGCACTTACTTTCTTACCTTTTTTCCACTAGTATATTGGTCATCACTGGAAGAAACTTTTCAAATCGAATGTATCCAGTGGGTTCTTCTTCCTCTACCTAAACATTCAATAAAAAAGTCACTTATTCATTCAACAAATACACTGAGCAGCTACTTTCCCAAGCACTGTGCCAAGTGTTGGGGATTTGATAATGAGCATCCTTGGGCATGGTCCCTGCTCCCAGAATTTATATTCTGGTAGTGGGGACGTATATTAACCAAAAAACAACACAGCTGAGTGTCTAATTATAAGTTTATGTATGAACAATGAAGTCAAGGGGCATGGGCCTATTAGAGCACAGAACAAAGGAAACTTTTCTCAGCCAGGAGACCAGGAAAGGCATTCGTGAGGAAATCACCCTGGAGCTGATGAGTAAAGGATGAGTAGAAAGTCATCAGACGAAGAGAAACCAAGATGGCGGCATAGGTAAGCACCGGAGATTGCTGCCGCAAATAACCACTTCAAAAATACAACTAAAAGACGGAACGGACATCACCCAGAACCACAGGAAGGCTGGCTGAGGAGAGACTCTTCAACTAGAAGGAAAAATAACAGCACACCGAGGCTCAGAGGAGGCGCAGTGTGGAAAAAACTCAGGTGCGGAGGTGCGCGCGCAAAGCGGGCTGGTGGCTGAGAGCGCGGTTGTCGTTTTCGGTCAGGGGGGAGTCTCAGACTCTGAGCTCCAGATACGGGCGAATCGCTGGGGACTCGGACCCAAACGGGAGAAGCGGGAGTGTCTGGCATCAGTTGGAAGGCAGCTTTCCCTCCGAGGTTTGCAGCGGTTCCGGGGGTTCTGAGAAGCAGAGCCTCTGGGAACAGGACTGAGGGCACCATAACGGCTCCCTCCGCCCGCCCTGTTGAGCCCGCCCCGCCCAAGCCCTGCGCAGAGCCATTTGCCAGATCGCCTCAGGCAAAGGCTAGATTAGCACCTCCCCAGAGGACAGAAGTTTTCCGCGGCAGACACAGCTGATTCACACAGCCAGTCGGCCTGGTGGTCAAATCCCTCTAGTATTAACTACAACAATCAAGGCTCAACTAGAACAAGACTGCGCACAAAGACCACTAGGGGGTGCACCAAGAAAGCATAAAAAATGCGGAGACAAAAAAACATGACAGAAATGGAGGATATAGAGCTAAAAATCGCAATTTTGAGGGCTTGCAAAAATGTGCTAGAAGCTGTCAATAAACTTGAGGAGAGAGTCACGAAAACTAATGAGACCCTCGATGCTATGATAAAGAACCAACTAGAAATTAAGCATACACGGACTGAAATAAAGAATATTATACAGACACCCAATAGCAGACCAGAGGAGCGCAAGAATCAAGTCAAAGATTTGAAATGCGAAGAAGCAAAAAACACCCAACCGGAAAAGCAAAATGAAAAAAGAATCCGAAAATACGAAGATAGTGTAAGGAGCCTCTGGGACAGCTTCAAGCGTACCAACATCAGAATAATAGGGGTGCCAGAAGATGAGAGACAGCAAGATATTGAAAACCTATTTGAAGAAATAATGGCAGAAAACTTCCCCCACCTGGTGAAAGAAATGGACTTACAGGTCCAAGAAGCGCAGAGAACCCCAAACAAAAGGAATCCAAAGAGGACCACACCAAGACACATCATAATTAAAATGCCAAGAGCAAAAGACAAAGAGAGAATCTTAAAAGCAGCAAGAGAAAGAGACTCAATTACCTACAAGGGAATACCCATACGACTGTCAGCTGATTTCTCAACAGAAACTTGGCAGGCCAGAAGGGAATGGCAAGAAATATTCAAAGTGATGAATACCAAGAACCTACAACCAAGATTACTTTATCCAGCAAAGCTATCATTCAGAATTGAAGGTCAGATAAAGAGCTTCACAGATAAGGAAAAGCTAAAGGAGTTCATCACCACTAAACCAGTATTATACGAAATGCTGAAAGGTATCCTTTAAGAAGAGGAAGAAGAAAAAGGTAAAGATACAAATTGTGAACAACAAACATGCATCTATCAACAAGTGAATCTAAGAATCAAGTGAATAAATAATCTGATGTACAGAATGAACTGGTGATTATAATGAATCAGGGACATAGAAAGGGAATGGGGAGTGAGGGCGGAGGGGGGGGCGGGAACTGGGAGGAGGGGCGTTATGGGGGGGAAAAAAAGAGGAACAAATGTAATATGAACAATAAAGATTTAATAAAAAAATAAAAAAAAAAGAAAGTCATCAGACAAAGACTGCAGTGAAGAGACTCCCAGGAAGAGGAAATTACATGCACTTAAGACCTGTGTGGTGTGATGCCTTGGAGGCCAGGAGGCTGAAGCATAGGGAGTGAGGAGAATGTTTCCAGATGAGACTGCAGAGACAGGGATCAGGCCTTGCAGGGCCTTACTGTCTATGAAAGTGACTTCGGTTGTTATCCTAAGGCCAATGAGAAATCACTGACGTATGTCTGAAAGATACACTGGTTGTGGGTAAGGTGGCTTCTGTAGCAATAAATCTAAGGGTTTGGGTTAGACTGGTAGCCACAGAGAGAGAAGTAGATGGTATCAAAAACTACTCCAGAAGTAAAATCAATAGGACCTGGTGGGCAAGGATGAGGAAAAAAGAGAAGAGTCAAGGACAACTCATAGGATTCTAACTTGCACAAATGGGATGGATTGATGTTTCCCCTGAGAGAAGGAACACTGCATAAGGGGCCAGGTTAGGGGACCAATCATGATCTCAATGGCCATGTATTGAGTCATTGTAAAATAGCTATTAAACACCTAGATGGTCGCCCTCACTGGTGTGGCTCAGTGGATGGAGCATCAGCCTGCAGACTGAAGGGTCCCAGGTTCGATTCCAGTCAAGGGCACATGCCTGGGTTGTGGGCTCGATCCCCAGTGAGGGGCGGAGGGTGTGCAGGAGGCAGCCAACCAAGGATTCTCATCATTGGTGTTTCTATCTCTCTATCCCTCTCCCTTCCTCTCTGAAATCAATAAAAAATATATATTAAAAAAATACCTAGATGGTCAACAGAACTTTGTTCTACCACTACTAGTTAGGAGAACACTACACCTGGAAAGAGAGTGTTTGGTACCCAGCACTGTTAGATGAGAATGAGAAAGACTCTTGCCCTTAGGTTCAACTGTGATGGTGGCTGAACAAAACACCATCGATCTTAACTTTCATGTCAGGTTATTTACCAGGAGCTGTAAATTTTCCACTGCCTTTCAAAAATCCTATTAAAAGGCTCATAAATCCCAACTCAACAGAAGAGCTTTTAACAGATTTATTCTTTGAACAAAAATAAGAAATCTATAGGCTGCTGCTACATGGAACACATTGTCTTCCGAATGACCACTATTTGTTTAATGTTTATACCAGATTCTCGCCTGGTATGAGTGGAGTCCTTAGATTCCACTATTGGCAGAATATGTCCTCTGTCTAATGATAGAATGATGTGTTTCTAAGCCCATCAATATATGACCAATTGTCTTCAGCTGCCTCTAGGTCCAAGGCGAACATTTTGCAAATAAATGTTCACATGGCCCTGATGTGCTTGAATGGGTAACACCCTGATTCCCAAACCCAGGAGCTTCTTAAAAATAAAATGTCAATCTCAAGAGACTACCTTTGGAGGGATAATTTTTAAAGTAAAATGTTGAGTTTCTATCCTGATTCCTCAAGAAATCTACTCCTTGCCCTAACCGGTTTGGCTCAGTGGATGGAGCATCGGCCTGCGGACTGAAGGGTCCCAGGTTCGATTCCGGTGAAGGGCATGTACCTTGGTTGCGGGCACATCCCCAGTAGGCAGTGTGCAGGAGGCAGCTGATCGATGTTTCTCTCTCATCGATGTTTCTAACTCTCTATCCCTCTCCCTTCCTCTCTGTAAAATATCAATAAAATATATATTTTTTTAAAAAAGAAATCTACTCCAGAGCAATGGTTTGCTTTCCTTCCCTCCACCCCCAACAAACCACTGTAGAGCAAATAGTCTCAACTGTGAAAGACAGACCCCACTTTATTTCACGAGCATCCTCACCAACCTACAAACTGTTTTTAGTATTTCCAGATGGAGTTCAGCTCTACAGCACACCCTCCACTACGTGAGAATTCACAAACACGTGACATTATCTAACAAAGCCCCACTTGCACCCACTCCAGCTTCCATACAACCTCCAGGAGCCCTTGGTGCTCTGAACACTGAACACTAGGGTGAAAATTCTGCGGTTCATTCTGGCCTGACAGATCAGTGTGGAGCCAAAGTTGCACAAAAATAATAAGTTAAAGCAGATCTCCAACCAATCAGGATAGCAGAAGAGGCATAAATTTTCTTTGGCTTTTTTAAACAGAGGGATAATGAATAAAAGCCATGTAGCTCAAAATGAAGGAAAAGTAAGTTCATCTTCAACTTGGGCAGATTGTGAAAATCTGTCTATGACCCAACACTGTCCCCTGGAGGCCACATCTTATCTATTTTTTATACAAAAAGATCCATGAGCAATGGCATAAAACAGATATATGATGACTCTAAATACACTAAAATAGACTGTTTTATATATATCAAACACTATATTATATTATAAAAGGTTTTTTACTGTTCAAATAAGCTTTTTAGTTTTAGATTTACAGAAAAGAGATATAGATTTCCCATATTCCTCCCACCCAGTTTCCCCTATTATCAACTCTTGCATTACTATAGTACATATTGGTTCATTGTCACAGCTAATGAACCAATATTGATACACAATTATTCACTAAACTCCAGGCTTTATTTGGATTCCATTAGTTTATCTAAAAGGCATTTAAAAGAGATGGTCTATTCCTTTATCATAGGAGAGAAACAAGGAGCAAAGTAGAGTAGCCCTTCTGAGAATCTAGAAGCAGGTGTGAGATATGGGAGGATAAGACAGGTTCTATTACTTCTGGTGCATAATAGCTAATTTATGAGGTCATTAGTAAGATAATATAAATATACTACTTTCTAGAAATGTTTGTTATCCAGTGATGGCTCAATGATTATTTAAATCCCATGTATTGCAATGCCTTTAAGATTTAATAGAAATATATCAAACACTGAACCATATATATA